TGTAACACAGGCTTTTTTTTATCTTAAAAAAAACATTAATGAAAACATAACCTCCTTGGTGAAGATAATTATAACCAAGCTTGACCTGATGAGCTGACCTCATGTTGTATTACTTGAAAAATTACCTCCAATTATATCTTGATCCATTAGAGATACCCGTATCGAAACTGATATCAGAATAGAATGTTGCACTGGTGCATCCCCATAATGCACCTGGTTATCTGACCTTCAGCTCCTGCCTTCTTGTGGGTCCTCAGCTGGGTGTGTTTCCTCTCCCGGTCACTGGGGGGAGTTAAAGTGTAAGAACGTTTTCATCTTCAAGCCAAATGAATCCAGGCTGAGCTTTTCCGTCAAAGACCAAATCAAATGTTGTGGACTCCAATTTTTCTAGTCATTCAACCAGGGTCTTACTTACTTTTAAATATCTTAACAAACCGATATCAGGTAAAACAATCACAGCTTCACACAACAATGTGAGCCCTCTAGAAAAAAGGGACAGGAAGTACACTGCATCTGTAGCCGTATACATGTAAATCAATAGTTATATGCACACTGTTGAAAACTTTCAACATCTGCATGTAAATGACTTCCTGCTTCAGCATCTCTCCATCTGTTTCCTTCGTTGTTCCTGTAGCATCCTGTCATATTACTCCATCTTCTCCTCCTGCTCCCCCTCATTCTTTTTTCCTGCACCATGAACCATCACAGCAGCTTCTGTTTAACAGTATCAACCCGTAGAACCGCCACATACTGTATGCACAGCAGCACACGCTTACATAACAGTCACACAGCAGCTGCTATATATATATATATATGTGATTTGTGATCCATGATGTTATAGTACCAGTAATTCACATGGGAATATATGACTTCTTGAATGCACATGCAAGCTGTACTCACATAAATCAATGCCTAACCCCCTCCCAAGTCTCATCTCCTCACACACACACAGGTTTGTACTTCTATCTTAGTGAGGACACACATCGGCATAATGCATTCCCTAGCCCCTAACCATCTAAAGTAAATGCATAACATGCATTAAAGGGGAGTCAGGGAGTGAGGACCGACCAAAATGTCCTCACTTTCCCAAAATGTCCTCTGTAGGTTGTGTCCCCACAAAGAACCTGTACAAGAACAAACACACACACACCATAAGAGACTTAAACTCGAGAGGAACATTATTCAGGCCTGGACAGTATCCTTCTATAGAAGGGACAGGGTTCTGCATCCTCTCTCACATACACTGTTCCTCCATACACTCACTCTTATCACAAATCAAAGAGGATTCAAGCTCCGTTAGAACAGAACAGCTTCAGCTGACAGCTGCAGAGATGGACGACAGACGATGGTGATGATGCTTGTTTTCTGCTTTCTAGTAATCAATATCAGTCTGCTGAGGCTGAGTCAGGCTGTCTGTGTGTGTGTGTATGTGTGTGTGTGTACGTGTGTGTACCCGACCCTTTCCAGCATGAAAATTGACCTTGTCCTTGTGGGGACTAATGTCCTAATGAGGTAAAACACAAGTTAGCTCCTGGTTAGTGTTAAGATGTGAACTGAGGGTTTTTTTTTTCCTCGGCCTGTGTCAGTTATGGTTGTGATGCGATGCGTATAACATTCCCTGACGTTCTGTTAAATGGCATATGCAAGCACAAAAAACCTGACTGACACTTAATCTCGCTCTCTCCACAGCACGTGTCTCCAAGGGTACTTTATCATTTATATGGAAACAAAATGGTCACACATAATTCATTCTCACCCTGCAAACATTCACATACACAATGATGGCTTTTCTACACACAACACACACTGCACAATTCATTCTGGATATTGGATACTGACAGACAAGTGAGACATGTCACATGCAATGTTCAGTATATAACAGGAGCGGCACCAGCTATGGAGCATTAGCACTGCTGCTGCACACTATAAGACGATAATAAAAGATGTGTGAGAATACCTAGGTCGCATCTGACACATCATTTATCATGAGACAGATAAGATCCCAATGCTCTGGTGAGAATTACATTTTTCAGGCCTTTATATACAAGTGACTTATTTTTCTTTTTGGCCATTTTTAAACTTTTTAAATGTAAGGCCTCTTTCTCTGCCATCTTTGATAGATGAGGGTCTAAACCAAAGCCTAACACACCCTAAAATATCCAGTTCTTATCATAAGTTAACAGGGAAATGTGACAAAACAAAATTAATATTAAACGTTTACTTGGATGTCTGCTGAGTGAACATCTAAAAGAGATTTGTGTGTGTAGATGCAAGTACACACACACTTGACTCTGATGCTAAAGATGCAAAGAGACAAAAAATTCCCAATCAGAGTCATTTTAACAGGAAACACAGAAAATCTTCCACTGCGCCAATTGTGCCTGCACACACACACAAACACACACACACACAAACAAACAGATTAAATAAATCTGGACCAGAGGGTTCCGTGTGAGAGTCTGAGAAGTTTCAGTGAAATTGTGCTAAAGGAGAAAGATATATACAGAGAGGGATGTTGGACTGGGTTTGAGATATTTAAAGGATTTGCACACTTGTTTCCACGCACTTGATGCAGAGACATCTTTGACAATGTCTCTGGGTGTCTGCTGTGTACGAAACAAAACGTCCAAGTACTTGTGTTTGACTGTGTCACAATAAAACTGTTTTTTTTGGTTAAGCACTGCTGTGTTTGCAGGAGGCAAAGCCAAGTCCTGCTGCTCAAGATGTTTGCCAACGATGATGGCAATCTGTGTGCGTGCAGCAGTAGAGGCTCCATGTGGGATCAGTGCAGAGTGAGTGGATTTTGACCGTGGCATGTTGCGCAACCAATAGTCTTGTCCAAAAATAGGCATCATGTTAAAAAAAAACCTCCACTCAAGCATCTTGTCTTGATCCCTAAAATCTTTGCTTACTCAAACATTGATGTTTATATTGTGCAAATCTGAGGGAATCTGTGCAACACAAGCAAGTAAATAAATCATGTTTCCATATTCTGCACCATATGACCCACGTTCAAATCTCAGTGCATATTCTGAAATGTTTTATTATGTTTGCTTCTTAAAATAGTTGTCAAAAGTTCCAGTGTTTCATGTGCATTATTGAATATTAATGGGAATTAAAGCCTCTTCATGGCACTTTGGATATTTGATAGAAAGTGCAGATTTAACTGACTGCACGCTATCTATCTATCTATCTATCTTTCTTTCTTGTTTGATCTCTAGACATCTATGTATCTCTCTATACATCTCTTTATATCTCTCTATATATATATTTCTATCTCTCTCTCCCTTTTTTCTTTCTCTATTTCTGTTGCTCCCCTAATAACTCTGTCTCTTTCTGTCTCTACATCTCTCTTTATTTCTTTATCTCTACCAATCTCTATACCTTTCCATCTCTCTAAAATCCCTATCTCTCCTTATATCTCTCTCTATCTTTCTTGATATCTCTATATCTTTCTCTGTGTCTCTATAATGCGTAAATATCTATCGTTCTCTATATCTCTCTCTATTTTTTTCAATATCTCCATATCTTTCTTTGTATCTCTTTATATCTCTATCTTTCTATATCTCTCTATCTCTCCTTGCCAGCACATCATGTCATGGTATCCTCCTTATGATTATAATACTTTTACAGTCCTTATTTGTCTGGCTTTTTGAGAAGCAGGTTACAGGCCTGAAGAGCAGCTTCCTGTCATTTATTTCTCCTATAGGCACATAAAGTTTTTTCCATCATTTGCTCCTCTGTCTTTGTAATTCTCTGCTTCTCTTTCTCTCTTCTCTCTGGGGATCACTAAAGCTAAAAGCACAGAGAGAGTACGGCGTCAGTCCTGAGATGAAAACAAAGAGGTAAGTGAACACTTACGGCCGGCACATACACACACACACCTCTGACCTGCTAAAAGCCTCATATTTAAAATATCACTTCTTAGTGCTCCAAACATACGTGATCATGTGCTTGTGTTTGTGACCTCTTACTTCTGTGGGTATTTGAGTGAACTTATCCTGTGTGTTACTTCATTCTCTAATCGCTTCACGTCTGCCAGGCGGCTGCAGAACCGATCGATATATGTCTAGACACACAGGATAAGCTTAGATGTTAGTGGACGAGATGTTACAGCTATCAGAAGAAGAACAGGAAAAGCAAATCTGTTTTAAATTGATGTAACTTATCAGATGAGTGTAAAATCTGATAGAGACTGGTCTTTATTGCTCCAACAAAATCTGTTATATGAGTTGATTAGTAGATTCAGGATTAAACACAGACGAGTTTTAATTTGGGTTAATTGCTCTGTAAAAATGGACTACCAGACTCACCACACCTGCACCTGCAGCATGAAGATCTTTTATATTCTGTTCATCCTTGAGTCTAAGTCCTTTCCTCACTATTTTCTTGCAGCCAATAATATTTTTTTGGCAACGGTGAGTCTACGTTTTTTTCAGTCTAAAATAATACTTTCTCTTTTTGAGAATGAATCCAAATGTACATGAGTGTTCATGTTTGTCATATTTGTTTGTATGTGACTTAAAGAGAAAAGCTTTGAACTGCCACACAGGTCAAAAGAGGAAAATGGTGATAATGGCGAAGCAGGAAAGGGATATACACACCCCCCCTCGCTTTTAGTATCTGATGTTGAGGCTGTGTTGCTAGGGGCAACTATCTGAGCGAGAAAAAGGGAGAGAGGGGAGATGGAGAGAGCAGCTGGTAGGAGGGATGGCAGCAGAGAAGCTGGGAGAACAGAATCTGAGCCAAAATGGCATCAGCAAAGGGGAGAAAAACCTGATACTCCTGCATCTGAGCAGAGCTGGTCGAAGCAGAGCTCCACATGATGACGATGGCGACGAAGCAAAACAGTCAAGCAGAGGACACGACCGTCTGCCAGCATCAGCAGCACAGAGGCAAAGCTGCCCAATCATCAGCTGACGTACCCATGATTTCAGCGGCCAATGAGCTGTCAGCAGGCTCCTCCCCAGCACAACCACTCAGATGCAGAGACAGCACAAGCCTGCCTCAGCTCTTATTAATGAATGGAGCAGTTCCCCGGCTGCATCACTGCACATCTCCGCTCCGTCTGCTCGGCTGCTCTCTGCTCTGACACAGGAAGACAGAGGGAAAACATCGACAGCGACAAGCACGGCAGCAGCAGCAGCAGCAGCACAGGAGGAGCTGAACACTGGCCATGAAGCGACAACAAAGAAACACTGACTCCCACGATGAGGACACAACCGAGAACATGGCAGCAGCTATTAAAAACAAGGACCCACATCCGGACCTCCAACCACCAAGACCACCATCTCCATCATCATCATCATCATCATCATCATCTTCTCCTCCTCTTCCACTGGCCATGCCACCTTCCACATCGGCCTCCGCTCTCCTGGCTCTGGCCTCTCCGGCCACCAGGCGCTCCATTTCTATGGGAGACTTCCGGAGGGTGACAGGGGCTCTCCTAGCCAGTTCCGACCCCCGGTCCACCTCAGCCACGGCCCCCTCTTCCAAGCTTGTCACCCCCAGCTCCAGCATGGAGTTTGAGGCAGCTCGACGTCGCCTCCTGGAGGTTGAGGAGCGCCAACGGGTCATCAGGGAGATGGAGCGACGACTGGAGGAGCTCAGGGAGGTGTTTGTGCGCTCGGAGCAGGAGGTGGTAGTTCACGGGGAGCTGGTGTCGAGGATATCTAGCGGGGCCCAGCAGGGGGAGCTGTATGTGGCGGAGAACAGTCAGCGGCTGAAGAAAGGCCTGAGGTTCAAGAAGCATCGACCCACCATCGTCTTCTCCTCGATGCTTGGACTCCGCACATGCCTCCCCTGGCCTGTGAAGCTCAAATAGGACTTTCCACCATCTCCAACTTTGCTTATAAATGTGCTTTACATAAATGGGGACAGACTTCCTTTCTTTAGAGATTACACATTGACAAGGCTGCTCTACAGTTTCCACCTTTCTGCTATTATATCCTGAGGCTGGTCCTCCAGGTGTTTAGAGTGCCTATCACAAATGCTAGTAAGGAGCTCTCTGTTAGGGGCGTTTCTGACAAACTTCAACCAGTGCAATGTGAACAGCATTTGTCATTTTGCTTTTATTGTTTACCATCGATACTTTGCTGCTTGCATTGACTTGAATAGGAGGGATTGTACATAGATATATGGTGCATGGATGAGTCATGTTCAGGTGCTGTGGGAGAAGAGGTTCAGACCAGCCTGTGAGGTAACAGGAGCTTTGCTGTGCATCTCTTAATGTATGCAGCAACGGACAAAAAGCCAATGAAGATGTCAACCTGTTCAATTGTGAGAGGGAGAGAAAAGGGATGAGAACGAGGGAGGCATTGAACAAGAGAAGGGCAGTGAATGTGAAGAGATGAAACTATGGTAGGGATTGCTGCATTGTTATAAAACCAAGGATGCAGGAAGGAGTTAGGAAAATTCACAAGTTGTGTCTGTAGAGGGCTGAGACATTTCCATTAATCGTGCCTTGGCTTCTCTGTGATTTCTTGTCCTTCACACAGTCTACACTGTTTTTTTTTGGCGGCATCCAACAATTGGGAGAGCGAGAGGGAAGAGCAGGAGTTCACACTGGGACAATTCCACCTGTGGCCTCTTTTTTACCCAGTCACCAAGCAACCGCTCGTCTCTCGACCCTAAATCCGCTTCCACAAAAACTACAAAACGTATCCGGAAGAGCACCGTAACCATAACACTGGTCCACCGCTGCAGGATTTAGGATCTATACATTTCTGCTTCATTTATTCAAATGAATCTGAATATTATGGCTATTTCTGATTCAAGCTTGTTGGACCTGCTCTTTTACTTTGGGTTACACTTAAATTAAGCCATGCAGACATTAGCAAGGAGAGTTAACCATCACTGAAAGTGTCTCTGTATTGAATGTGAAAATGGCAAGTGATTGGCACCTCCGAACGTCACCAGCTTGTAGTTTGCAAGGTGACAGCTTCACCACAGTTTTTTGAGGCACAGTTTTGGAAGCTAGACGATGTGTTTTCATTTGTTAGGTTGCTTTAATAGATCAGTTGATAACTGTGTTGCACCTGTTCATGCACAGGCGTATCTTTGTCCCGAATGCAGTGGATGACCTAATTTCTACTTATAGATCACTCTCATTTTTTGGCCTAATTCTTCTTTTCCTTCGTACCGTTTCTCTTGTGTTTGGATTAGGGGATGACTACAAATCTATTCCACCAATCCCTTTGCCTCAGCTTTGTGTGTGTGTGTGCGTGTGTAGAAAGCACAGCCTGTACACCAGAGATATCTATTTTTGGCGTTCAAAGGTTATTGCAGAGAGGCAGGCATTCAATCTTGGTGCAGCAATGTGAATGCATCTTAGCATCCATCTTTATGTGTGTGCTACTTTGCAAAAGAATGAAGGGGATTTCTGCAGAATCCCAGATTGTGCTTCTTCTTCTTCTTCTTCTTCTTGTTCTGTGTGTTGTTGGCTCTCCTTTATAAATGACCCCTGAAAGAACAAAGGAGGAGGGCTGTTTACGAGAAACGCGTATGCTCAGCCTGTATAATTGCTCACAGTAGGTTTCTGAGCAATTACATATTCCAGTTTTAATTGCTCCCTGAATGCAAAGACGGGCATGATGGGGATACGTTACTGCATCATGTGAGATGCATTAGAGAATGATGTAGACTGACAATGGAGAAAGAAGACTATGATGTGTTGCTCGCCACGCCGTTTATATCGAGGCAAAGTGAGAATAAAAAAATCAAACATCAAAACAACAAATTTAGTTTAGTAATGCACAGTTAGTTGATGCAAATCAATCAGAACGATGCCACAGGTTAGCGTTGGTTATTTTCTAATTTGACTTTAAGGACTTAAATGACTTATATGTTTTTTTTTTGGAGCATAGTTAAAGGGGCATTAAAACAATTTTATACAAAAATCTCAGTGATAATAACTACAAATAATAAAAGGTTATATAAGCTCAATGCTTGATATTTTAAACAGAACCTCTGCCAACGTGGCCATTGGAGACACAGGGGTGGAATTCAGTTGCATCATGGGAAATGTAAGTTCCTGTATATCTGAAACTTGACTTAAATAACGGACTTAAATATTCAGGGTATCTGTTGTTTGGTATCTTCTCCCTGAATTCCCCCCCTTTAAGTGGTCCAGTGTTTCTGATGTTCAGATTTCTGATCGCCATGGTGACTTTTATCATTGAATGTTGACTCACTTTAAACATTCCACTCACACACGGCCAAGGGAACTACTGCTTTCTGTCTTTGTGCACATCTATACCAAACAATATTCAGCTGAGGTCAAGCAAGTGCAGAATAAAAAGGTCTTTTAGGACTTAAACACGTCTTCATGGTCCTAATGTATGTGTACAGCTAGAGCTACAACTGAATATACAGCTGGCCTATATATTGCTTTTTAATATGCCTTATGTAATGTTCGTCTATCTGCAGCTACACTTATGCTGGTGTTACAACCAGTGATGAGGGTGATGGCAAACAGATGTACTCACTCATTATCTGGTCAGAAGAAAATAATGAAAAGAAAAAAAACAAAAAAAGTCATGCACTGTTGTGGCACTGCACCTTTCGTGTTTTTCTATGAATGAACACTACATTTCCCAAAGATCTCTGGGCCCACTTGCAGAAAGAATGTATATGTTACTCAAGTGTTTTCACTTTTTTTTCCTGAAGACTAAATGTCTAACTGTCTGAACCTGTGGTTGATAAATGGAGTTGAATAATATATTCAATAATGAGCAAGTAAACACTGATCAACCACACGTCCAAAAATCACCTTTCTAATATTTTTTGAATCTTTTCTGAATGTATATTTTGTGTTTGTTTCTGTGATGTGTTTTGAATTTACGCTCTGGTGAAATAAGCACAGAACTTATTATTTTTCCTTAAATCAGGTGTTTCTTACCTTTTATTCAAACTATAAATAAAAAAGGATATTCTACTTCAGTATGAATGTTAAGTTAAAATTTCATAGGCTTAATTGTAAAAACAGGTTTGGAGTCAATTTACTTTCAATTCCAAATGTTAAATGAAACAGTTATTTAATGAAGAATCATTAAATGACAATTAATGGTTAATATTATCTTCAAATTCGATTTAAAATCAGTTGGATGAAAGTTATTTGTCCCCAAACCTTCATGTATCAGCACTGTGTTTGAAAAAGATGTTTTTTTCGATGAATGAATGTAAGTTTGCTGTTTTACGCTTAAATTTGCAACCACTTGTTTAATTGTCTTGACATCATCATTTACATGAGCACAGAGCTACAATGTACAAGACTAGTAAATGTTAAAAGACAGATCTCATTTGAGTTATCATCAGGTTTTGTAAGATTAATTATTAGAATAAAATGAATAAATGACTGAAATGTTGCATGGGAATTCCTCTAAACAGACTCTATTGTATGAAATATTTATTTCTAAAGGTAGCATCTCTAAATATTACAGCTTTTGCAGTTACGTGGGAGCTCTGGGAGCTGTTAGGGTCACCTTGCAGCAGCACAGCTTGGTAGTGCCTGTTCAGCAGAAAACCGCTCTTTGACGTAAAATAGGACGCTGCACGCTGCAGAGGAACAAACTGTGACAGAGCTGCATTGGTGCACGTACATTAAACATGCATTATTTCTGCATTCAGTCATTTGCTTGTCGATTAGAGCCTTTTTCCCTCAGTTGATTATTTACTTAAATGGATGTTAGATAACCTGGCGTTCGCATGAAAAGGACAGAATTACTGGAAATGTATATCCCACTTCCAAGTGCTCATTACTGCGAGCCAGGATTTGTGAAGTTGCATTAAGCTGATGGTTTTTGCTGCTGCTCACTTAATGAAAGGGCATTACCCACGTAGATGGGTTTTAAGTGGGCACATCTGAGTATATGGGGTATTAGAACATTAGAACATCCTCTATTATTTTTATAGATTACAGACTCTGATGCATATAAACTTATTCAAAGAAAGCTAATAATGGAACTGAGCCACACTTCTCTTCTCCCCTCAGGAAAGATAGAAACCTAGAGATTAGTGCCGGCTTTACTCTGCATTTCATGGATTATTATATTTCACTGCCTGTATTAAATTATTTTTAGTGTAGTGTTTGTGTATTCATACATATAAAATAGATTAGTGAATGAATACATTTACTACACAGTATGTAGAATAAACTTGCATACTATTGTGTGCAATATAGACCGTCCTAATGGGAGAATGTGTGT